TAGGTTTCCTGTGGTCTGGCAGTACATTGTAGGTTCTGAATACAACTTGGTTTAATATTCAGTTAATTTGTTTAGTTCTCATGCCTCTTCCCTATGTCGCTGGTAAAAAATAATGAAAAGCCAAGCTGTAAGCAATGAGGATATTGAGATTTAAGAAACAGAATTAGCATGACTGGTGACTTAACTAGATGTGGAAATGGTTGAAGATGAAGGAGACAGAGTACTTCAGGATTATTTCTCAGTGTTTGATTTGGGCACTGAGATTGGGAATACAGAAGAAAAGGAAGGGTTTAGTGGGGTTGGAAGAAAAACTTTCATTAAAGGTGTTTACTGAATTAAAAGCTTTGCCCCATATTGGGGAGTCGAAAATGTTACGTGTCAGCCAAATGAAAAGATCTGATTTTAATTGGATCCGAGTCTGCAGAGAGATTGGGGTAAAAGTCATCAAAATGAAAATAGCAGCTGAAGCTTTAATAGTAGATGAAATTGCTCAAAAATGAAATGCAGAATTTTGGAAAAGGAGGATGAGCCAGAGAGAGATCTTGGACAACACCAGTTTTTAAAAGGAGGACAGAAGGAAAAAATTCTGTGAAAATAGTGAGGTATCTACAGAGGGAGGAATAGATGCAAGAGGGAAAACAAAGATGATTGACAGTGCCAAAGTAGTCACTGCATGCAAAACAGTGCCTGAAAGCCATTCATTGGATTTAGTGAGTCTGATTATTAAAGATTTTAGTGACTTTAGAGCAGATTGAATACTAGGGGTAAAATCCAGATTCAGCTGGATTGAGGGATGCTAGCAAGTGTTTATGACTATGCTTTCAAAAAGCTGAGCTTTGAGGGAATAGCAAGGTCATGAGGGATATTTTTTATAAGTGGTTTTGTTTTGTTTTTAAGATAGGGGTAGATGTATATTTATGTGCAGGAGCCAGTATAAGAGAATAGATTGTACAGGCCTGCTGTCTTACATGTAGTATGCTGTTAAAATATTTATTTAATAAGTGACAACATACTGTTAAAAGTCCTCAATCTCAATTTCACATATGAAATGTGGATATTTTATAAGGTACCTGATCTATATATTCAGTCATGGTTTTTTATTAATTTGGAGGGGTGCTATTTTTTAGCCTCAGAATATTCTACTGACAAGTGAATCTCCACTGAGTGACAATAAGATAGTTGATTTTGGTCTTTCAAGAATAATGAAGAGCAATGAAGAGCTCCTTGAAATTATGGGCACACCTGAATATGTGGGTAAGTATTCAGAAGAGTGGGATGTATGATTAATAGTGGGTCTGGCCATCTGCTATGTAAGGAGCTTTAACCTTGAAGGTACTAGCAAGAGAACTGCTGAAGTGATAAACCACACTAGGTTTTGTAGAAAAATAAGTAAACTGTGACTTTTTTGATAGACTAGAAAAAAAAATGTTGCATAGAAGGATCAGTGGTTGAATAAGGTTTAAAAAAGATTTCTGTAGTAGAGCAAGGCAGTGAAATAATTTAAAGGTTTGATAAGAGATTACAATGTTAATATTTAAAATTTCAGAAATGAAACAGCTCTTTGTAATTACCAGGTCTTGGACAAAGGGTGGCTCTTTAGACCTGGAAGTCAAGAAGTATGGATATCAGGTCTTTGGCATCAGTGTGGAAGTTGCCTGGGGTGGTAACAGGCTGGTGAGGAGGGTGGGAAGGAGGGCATCTGTGTCAGTAAAAGCAATATGACCAGGGATGGAGAGGACTGTGTGGCCTGGGCCTGAGGAAAGAAGGATATTTCCCTGAAAGCAGAGATGTGAAATGGGTAGATAGGCAATCACCATTCTAAGAGGGCCTGGGGCCTAGGAGACCTAGGTCTCCTTTGAGAGAAGAGGATGAAAGGACTAGTCCTTGAAGTAGCTGAGGATGGTGGGAATTTATTTATGAGGGAAAAGTGATTCCAAAAGACAGAAAGCCAGGAGGACAGACAAGGTTAGGGAAAATAAAGTTGTTTATGATACTACAAAAAAAAATAGTATGAAGTTTTAAAATAATTTTTTTAAGTTATATATTTATAACAGACCCTTAATTAGTTAGGCAACAAAAAATGTAACAGGCAGAAAACAGCCGTCAAAATTTTTGGTTTTATAGACTAGAATACTTAATTTTCAGTATAGTGACTGATACGCATCATGGCCCCTAAGTAAGTTTTAGAAATCTGGCTTACAGGTGCAACAGCCCAAATATTTGAGCATTGTAAACTAGAAGAAATACAGAAGACTGCAGAATGAAGGGCCAGGAGCTGAGATATAAATAGGTACAAATAGTAAAACCCTGAATTTTTTTTTTTAAATGCTTTCTGTTCTTCGGTAAAGTCTAAATTTTCTACCAAGTGCTTTTTTCCCCCCTTCAATATATATATCTTATTTAAAAAGTAGTACAAGCCCAATACAGAAAAACTAAAAGTAATTGAGAACTATATAGTACAGAAAAGCAAAGGGACTCTCCTCACTTTCTTTCCCTGGCCAGCATTTTAAAGGTGAGTTGAAGTCTCCTTTCCGCATCCTCAGCTATTGTTATTTCTTACCCTCTCCCCACCACCCCCCATCTTTTGCTGGATGGTCTTTATTTTTTTTAATTAATTAATTTATTTTAATTAGTTTCGAATATACAGTAGACATTTATATAGTTTATGAAACAATTCCCCTAATTGCTCCTTCTCTCCTCTGGTTTTCCACCTAGACAATATATTAATGCTAACTGCATTCCTTATGCTGTGCTCCCCATCCCCGTGTGTATAGTCTTTATTTTACTTCTTCCCATTCAGTGATTTGGATGCTAAGCATTGTTTTAAATTTCCTAGTATTTTTTTAAACTTTAAATAATATTCATAACCTGTTTCTCAACTCAAGGATTTCAGGTATTGAAGTTGAGGAAATTAGCATACCTAACATTTCCTTCCAACTTTTTCTTCCCTCATATTCATGTGTGTGGGGAGGGTCTTGTTCCCACCAGTAATTGTTATGCGACTTTTATTTTTTCCTAGAATTAGAACATTTTTATTCCCTTTTTTTATGTTATAATTATCACATTTTTTAGTTTTTGATTTGTTTTTATATGAATTCAGTACATATTGCCTGCCTTTTCATAGTGTAGCCTTCCTATCTGTGTACTTTTAATAAAAATCATCTTTTGGTTGACTCGATTGTATCAATAAGTAGATTTTTCTTTTCAAGGAGGTTTTTCATAAGTCCTTACATATTTGAGAATGTCCTGGAACTCCCTGTCGTCAGTTCTTGACATCTGACAATGTACTGAAGGCAAACAGACGCCCAGCAATTTGTAAGCAAGCTAGTTTTATTGAAAGCAAAAGTACACTTCTCAGGTGGGAGAGTGGGCTGCCGAGATTGGTGAACCTCGAAGATAAAGTATACTCTCAGAACGAAAAGAGAGATGCCAAGAGGTCAGACTCAAAGCCTCCTGCTTGGGGCTCTTTTATTCTGCCTGCAAGGCTTTGGTCCTCCCACTGTTACTGAAGCCCTTCCCCTACAAGTCTTGACAGATAGGTTCCTTATATAACCTTTCTGAGCTTGAGTATATCCATAATACACTCAATTTGTCCATAGGGAATTAAAGCTGCAATGTAAATTTATTATAATGATCATATAATGAAGCAGAGGTGAATTCTAGGTCACACCAGCTGTCTTTCTGCACATGCCTATGTTGGGGAATGTTCTTATCATTGCCTCACTATTGTGTCAGGTCTAACAGTTAAGTCAAGACTTAACTGGCTGCCCTGGGGAGGGCCCTTAGTGTAACTCCTGTCTCATTTCCATTGCGTTTATGTGTGACAGCAGTTTAGTTAAATTTTATCACAGCATATTATTCTTTCAGATTTATAGATGCACCTTTGTTGTGTGTGATGCACGTTATCTGAGGATGTCCAATTTTTTTTTAATCTCGGTGACTGACTTTTTGTTAACGGGAGGACATTTTAAAAGCTGACCCTAGCTGCAACATAGAGAATAGATCAGAGGGGCAGAACGAGTGGGAATCAGAGGGGAAAGTGCTGTGGACTTTGGTGAGAGCTGTGGGAAGAAGAGCCAGGGATGGCATTGAGATAGATTTAAAAGCAGTAATGTCTTAGATATGATGCTTGATTAAATAGAAGGTATAGGAAGAGAAAGGTGTTAAAAGTTATAAGTTTACATTGCAGTATTTATGCATTCAAATATTTTAACAAAACAAGGACCCAGGAATGACGGGTGGAGGTTTGAAAAGTAAACAAGTTAATTACACACATCTAGTTAAACTTTACAGTAATGCATATTAATTTGATTTATAATGTTAACTCATTTTAGCCCACACCTAACAGCGGCTCAGTTTCTAATGAGTATTTTTTTTTTTTAATCTAAAAGAGCAAATTAGCAACTTTTTTTCACAAAGCAAAATGTTTTCTTCTGTTGCTGATACCAGCTCTTGAAATTCTTAGTTATGATGGCAACGGATATGTGGTTAAGAGTTATTTATGAAAAACTGATCAAATTAGTTTCAACAAAAGAATATGACACTAACTTTTCTTACATTTTCATTTTGATTTAGGAGCATTGGAGTGTTAACATATGTCATGCTTACAGGAATATCACCTTTCTTAAGAGATAATAAACAAGAAACAGTCCTAAACATTTCACTGGTGAATTTAAGTTATTCTGAGGAAGAATTTGATGTTGTGTCTGAGTCAGCTGTTGACTTCATCAAGACACTTTTAGTTAAGAAACCTGAGTATTAGTTAACTTGATATTTGTCAATTTTTGAGTGATCACCTCTGTGCAAAAGTTTAATAACAAACACCAAAATGAAGACATCAAATGCAGACGTAAAACTAGATGAAACCTTTGGCTTTTTATATCTGTTCAAAGAAAAAGTGACAAAAATTAAAATGTTTTTAGAAAATATGAACTGCACCTCAGTATAATAGATATTTTCTGTCTGTTTTTGGTCTTCTAAAGGGCTTTGCGGAGATTTACTATTTCTTTAAAATATTATTTTTCAACATTGTGAGGAATGGCATTTGCACACAAATGCCAAAACTTTTAGTTTTATTCAGTAAGATTTTTCCACCTCTTCATACTTCCCAAAATATAATACAATAAATATAATACCTTATGCTTTAATTTATAAGTGAATTTTAAACTATTTTGTCTTAAGTATAAAATGTGTATCTTTATACAGAGATCAAGCCACCGCTGAAGAATGTCTAAAACATCCATGGTTGACAGAGCAGTATTCAAGGTCTCCCTTTCAAGGTGAAAGGGCCATTAGATGAAGCAAATGCCATCTAAGATGATTTTGTGCCTGAAGTTAATTCAGATACTCGGCAACCAGAAATCAAGGAATTAGTTTTAACAGAGGAATTAATTACAGTTACTTCATTTTCTTTAGGACAATGCAGACAGTCTGAAAAAGAGAAAATGGAGCAAAAGGCCATTTCCAAATGATTTAAATTTGAGGAACCTTTGCTACAAGAAATTCCAGGAGAATTTATCTACTGAGCAGTATTTCCCTTTAGAACTTACTTTAAGATTTGTACATTGAAAACAATATTATTTATGGACTCCTGGCCAGATGGTACATGTACTGAAAGTGGATAACCAGGTATCAATGATGTAAACTGAAATGACTTTGTCAAACTTGTGGAGTTAGAGCAAATGAAGCCAGATTTAGAAAGTTGCCAACCAGTAGGTTTAATGAGTCAAGTTACACATTTCAGTGTTATTTTTAAGAGAGGAGATGTTTGAACCTTTATTTCTAAATCCAATTTTTCAAGGATGAGAATTTGTATACAAAGATATCTATTCACTTTCTTTAAAATACAAGTAGAAGTGCCCAAATTAACTTATTTGTAAATCTATTCTGCATTATTCATATGTGTATATCTGCTTATATGTATGTTATCTTTACTAAAATTGGTACTTTTTCACTTTGGACTTTTTGGGGGAGTGAGATTTTAATTTAAATAGATATCTTGCAAATTTTTGAGACCTAGAATAACATCTATAGTTTAATGATGTCTTATTTTTAGATTTTATTACTGACTTATATTGACTTGATTTGGCTTCTCTTATCTCTGTTTTTGCCTAATGCTTGTACCTATCAGTTAAAAACCCTAATTTTTTTCTTTTCAACGTCACTAATGAGAATGGTGGTGATTGCTTGTTATTCACTTAACTTTGGTCACTTGCAAGTGGTAGTGTGATCTGATCAACATAATGGTTGCTTTGGTTAGTGAAAAGACACCATTATGTTGTTATTGTGAATAAAATTTCCCAGAGCGAGAGAAGAGATACAGAACATATTCATGCAGGCCATCAAGTCTCTACTTCTGTTGAGTTTCTTATTAGCCCTCAAGCTACAGTAGGAAAAGTTATGAAATGCCAAAATATTTATAAACCTTTACTTTGTTCATAAAAAATTTGACATTGGACCTCTGGAAACTTTTGTCCCAAAAAGTTTTATTAGAATATACTCAATAGAATTTAATTTGCTTAGGATTGAACACTTAAGTTGTATCAAGGTCCCAATGAACAGTAAATTTCTGTTAAAAAATAGAAATGTAAAAGTGTATGCTGTATAACTGAAAGAACTGAATACCCTTCTCGCACACAAAAAATGTTTAAGAGTCCTTATTTACCTTTGATTAGGCTCAGGGTGATAAATATTTGAATATAACTTGTCTATACACATCCTATGCCCTTGCATGTGCTCTGTACTGTGAATAACTCAGACCCATCCCTTCAGCCTGCTTAGGGTATCACACAATGCTCTCTTCCTAGCATTTGACTTCTCAAATGTCATAATTATGACAATGACAGTGCTAACCACCTGTTTTAAAGTTTGTGCAGTGTACTGTGCTAGACATTTACACACATAGTCTGTAATCACACCCAGCCTTGCCAGATGAGCTTCAGAGTCGCTGGTATGGTTCATATACCATCAGATGAAATTAGGCAATTTGATCCATCGGGTTGCACTGTTTTCTCACTAAATTGGCTTTATTTATACAGTTTCTTAGAAACTAGCATTTCTAAACAAGCTCCATAAAGAGGTAGAGGAAAATCTGCCACATGGCAGTTTTCATTGAAAACACATAGCCACAATGGTAAGCCTAAGTCTTGAAAGAAGTATAATGCAATTTTAGGCAAATATTTATAAATATCTCTCTGACAAAAATAGACAGGGATGAGAAAAATAATACACTATTTAATGACTCATTTTTATACTTGATAGATTTATCCAGTATTAAAATCAGAGTCATTCGGACAACATTTATATTTTTTCCAAACCATTTTATATTACACTCATAATAAACACATTTACTATAATTACTATATTTATTTAAAAAAAAAAAAAAGACCTGTTTTCTTTTATCTGGCTACTTTGCTCTTTGCAGTATGTTGCATATTCTCAGCTGTTTTTGTACCTTGAATTTAGAGTTGTATAGTTTTTTTTAGAAGCACTTATACTTGTAAAGATACATTTACACTTTTTGGTTCAAATGACATAAAGAGAGCATGAAGAACCTTCACAATATTGGACCAAATAAAATCTTTCTATTAATGACTTAGCTCTATAGTTAAAGCTGTTGTTAATTTGTCCTTTTAACAAGGTTACAAGGGACTAAACAGTACTATTGAGTTTATTCATAGTTTATAAATCCAGTTTTAATTATAATAAAATTCAACATTATAATATTTTAGCTTAATGAGAATTTTTTATGAAATATGCAAAATGTATGAGCGGTTTTAGTCAGTTGGGAAATTGTTTTAATGTTGTATTTTGGTGTTTTCACATGAAAAGTTGGAGAAAATGTCTTTTCTAGTCAGATGCTAATTGTCGTCTCAAACTTTTCCAACTGACCACAGTTCGGAAGAAAATTATTAGAGAAAAGGTTATAAAGGTCACTTGGAGAACATTGAACAAGAAGTAAATTACAGTCCTAGTAATGTAATGGGGTGGTGTGTGACTCAGTCCATGGAGGCCTAAGCAACATAGATCTATGGACTCCAACATAGATCACTTTACATAGGTGCAAAGGGGATTAGCCTGGGGCAAATTAATTTTAGGAAGTGAATACATTTTAAGCTCAAACTTGTCGAAATTCAAATTAAGACTGGCAAAAACAGTTAAAATTGTTCAAGATCATTTACCGTATAATACCTTCAGTTTGTTGCATATTTAAAAGAGCTAGATTAAAAACCTTAATTTTAACCCCAAGAGTCTTTTAATCACCAACTATTTTGTTGTGGAGAAGGGAATATTAATGCACAAATAATGAATTGTACAGATTTAAATCTATACTAGACTATCAGGCTTGACAAATGCATACACTACTTTAACCCTACTCCTGTTGTTACAGTTTTCCTTATTCTCAAGTTTATACAGATGGAATACTTTCTGGTATCTGGCTTTCACTCAGTATAATGTTTTTAAGACTCATCCATGTTAGTGCTTATATCCATAATTTGTTCCTTTTTACTGCTGTGTTGTATTCTTTGAATATACCAGTTTATCCATATCTCTGTTCATGGACCCCTGGACTATTTCAGGTTTGGCTATTATGAATAAAGCTGCTATAGATATTCTTGTCCGGGGATTTTTTGTGGACACATTTTCATTTCTCTTAGATTAAATGAGTAAAATTGCTAGGTCATAGGATAGATGTATAGTTAACATTTTAAGAAACTGTTTTCCAAAGTGATTGTACCATTTTCTATTCCTGCCAGCAATATATGAGCAATCTTGTTGCTTCACATTCTTGCTAACATTTAGTGTTGGCTTTCTTTTTCATTTTAGCTATTGTCATGGGTATGTGGTGGTATTTCATGGTGGTTTAATTTGCATTTCCCTAATGACAAATGAGGAATACTTTTTCATGTCCTTTTTTTCTTTTAATTGGACAGAGTTGTGATAATCCTTTTATATATTTTGGACACAAGTCTTGTCAGATTTATGTTATAAATATTTTTTCCCACTCTGTGGCTTGTCTATTTTGTCTTATCGTTAATATTCTCTGTATCCTGTATTCTCTGTATCTTTATTTACTCCAAAGTCATGAAGGTATTATTTTTTTCTTTTTAAGCTTTATAGTTTTAGCTGTGATATTTAGGTCCATGAATCATTTTGAATTATTACTTTTTGTGGAGTGTTAGGTAGGGGTCAAATATTTGTTTTCCATAGGAATATTCAGTTGTTTCAGCACCATTAGTTGAAGATTTTCCTTTTCCCACTGAATTGTTTTGGTGTCCTTGTCTAAAATCATTTGACCATATATCTGTGGATCTCCTTGTGGACACTCTTCTGTTAATCTATTTGTTTTATCCTTTTGTCAGAACTTTATAAGTCTCAATGTCCAGTAAAATAGGACTTCCAATTCCCTCTTTTTCAAGATTGTTCTTTGTTCTATGTCCTTTGCGTTTCCAAAGATATTTTAGAGTTGGTTTGTCTATTCCTACCAAAATCACCCTCTAAAATAAAGACTTGTGAGATTTTGATTGAGATTCATTGAATCTATAGATCAATTTGATTTTAACAATGACTCTTCCAATCCATAAACATAGTGTTTCCATTTATTTATTTCATTTTATTTTTCTCAGAATTATTTTGTATTTTTCAATGTAGAAAGACCTTGTACATCCTTTGTTAACTTTATCCCTATGTATTTTGTTATTTGATGCTATTGTTTTGGATTCTTTTTCAGTTTTTTTTTTTTTTATCAAATCTTCCAATGATCAATTTTAACACAGCACATTGTGTTTAAATAGGCCTCTGTTACAATTTATATAAAAATGAGTCTACCTTTCTTTTGAAACTGTTTAAAATCTTAGTCTAGTGGTAATAGTGGGAATGTCTTGCTGAATTGAAATTCATAGTAACAAAATTGGGAAAGAAAAATATATACCTTCCTCAAATTCTCTCAAAGTAGAGATGATGTAATGGAATCTCAGAGGGAATATAGTAATCCATCCCCCTTGTCTATGGGGGTATACATTCCAAGACCTCCAATGGATGCCTCAAACCACACAGATAGTACTGAACCCTGTATATAATGTTTTTTTCTTGTACATACATAACTATAATAAAATTTAATAAATTGGATACAGTAAGAGATTACCAACTAAGAGATTAATAAACACGATTATAGCAATATACTATAATAAAAGTTATGTGAATATTCTATTATTAAAATAAGAATTATTTGAACATAAGTACTGCAATACCAAGGCAGTTGATCTGATAACTGATCTGGCTTCTAAATAACTAATGGGTGGATGGTGTATATAGCATGAATACACTAGACAAAGAGATGATTCATGTCCTGAGCAGAATGGAGCAGAATGGCAAGAGAGTTCATCATGCTACTCAAAATGGCATGCAGTTTAAAACATGAATTGTGTTTCTGGAATTTTCTATTATAAAAGTAGAATATTTCTGGAATATTCTACTTTTGGACCACAGTTGACTGCAGATAAATGAAACTTCAGAAAGCAAAACC